CCACTATAGGTGTGGATTTTTTAAAGAATATTTTTTCAATGACCACCTGTTGGGTGGATTTTTTAAAGAATATTTTTTCAATGACCACCTGTTGGGTGGATTTTTTAAAGAATATTTTTTCAAGGACCATCCAACAACAAGGTGTGGATTTTTTAAAGAATATTTTTTCAATGACCACCTGTTGGGTGGATTTTTTAAAGAATATTTAGGCGTGGATTTTTTAAAGAATATTTAGGCGTGGATTTTTTAAAGAATATTTTTTCAATGACCACTATAGGCGTGGATTTATTAAAGAATATTTTTTCAATGACCACTATAGGCGTGGATTTATTAAAGAATATTTTTTCAATGACCACTATAGGCGTGGATTTATTAAAGAATATTTTTTCAATGACCACTATAGGCGTGGATTTATTAAAGAATATTTTTTCAATGACCACTATAGGCGTGGATTTATTAAAGAATATTTTTTCAATGACCACTATAGGCGTGGATTTATTAAAGAATATTTTTTCAATGACCACTATAGGCGTGGATTTATTAAAGAATATTTTTTCAATGACCACTATAGGCGTGGATTTATTAAAGAATATTTTTTCAATGACCACTATAGGCGTGGATTTATTAAAGAATATTTTTTCAATGACCACTATAGGCGTGGATTTATTAAAGAATATTTTTTCAATGACCACTATAGGCGTGGATTTATTAAAGAATATTTTTTCAATGACCACTATAGGCGTGGATTTATTAAAGAATATTTTTTCAATGACCACTATAGGCGTGGATTTATTAAAGAATATTTTTTCAATGACCACTATAGGCGTGGATTTATTAAAGAATATTTTTTCAATGACCACTATAGGCGTGGATTTATTAAAGAATATTTTTTCAATGACCACTATAGGACCACTATAGGCGTGGATTTATTAAAGAATATTTTTTCAATGACCACTATAGGCGTGGATTTATTAAAGAATATTTTTTCAATGACCACTATAGGCGTGGATTTATTAAAGAATATTTTTTCAATGACCACTATAGGCGTGGATTTATTAAAGAATATTTTTTCAATGACCACTATAGGCGTGGATTTATTAAAGAATATTTTTTCAAATATGGGTCCGCCCGCTAAATATTTACCGATTTTCACCAAAACAGTCATGCTTATTCTCTGGCCAGATTCCCTTCCTGGTGAAACATTTCGTAGTGTTCGGGCAATAATCGAGGCCTCTAGAGCGACCAGAAAAACAGACAAAAATGTTTTTGGTCCATTTCATCCCCTACATATTAACATATAATTACCAAACAATATGGGTCTTCTTTGGCCAGAAACCATTCTACATGCAAAATTTCCTGACGATTGGTTCGTAATTGCGGCCTGTATCGTGTTTACAAATTATAATGGACAGACGGACGGACATACATGTCTAGATCGACTCAGTTAGTCGAGATATACCGATCGGTATATTTAAAGGTGGGCCTAGGACCAATATTTCGCGGCGTTAGAAACTCATGGGGCTGTGCGTATGGTATAAAAATTATTTGTCACACAATTTTCTTAAAAATTCTACGTTTATTGTTCTTATAGTCCTTAAAAAAATAATTTTAAAAAATATCATAATATTTCATAATATTCCTTGATTTATATAATTGGGGTACTTATAATCCTTAAAAAATAAATTTCAAACCGAGTTAAGAGAAAAGCTATAATCCTTCGACTAATGTAATAAAAATAGCCCTTTTCAAAACTTTAGAATTATCTTCAAATTTTGTAAAAAAAAGTTTTAGCTCCGATTTTTTAAAAATATTTTTTAAGCAATTTCATTTAAGTGCTACCCTTATAATAAGATCCAAAAACACCGTCACCGACCATTTCCATTTTGTTGTCATACCTTCTTTGAACGCTCATTTTGTAAATCACTTGATGTCATAACGTTAATCCTTCTCCATTGCTTGGCATGACATGGTCGCAGACCAAAAACTGAAAACAACTGCATATATAATTTTTTGTGCATACATTATAAACAAACGAACCACTACATACTAACTCATGACATTTTCCGTTTTCTCTTCTCTCCCCCGCTTGTTTTGTGTGCGTGTGTGGATTATTTCTAGGTATGCCAGCAGCCGGACAAGTGGACTGTGTCACATTATCACGAGGATAAGCACAATTGCTACACTTTTGTATTGACCTTCCTGCAAGCACTGATGTATGAGAAGTTAAGCGAGGCGACCAGCAGTAAAACGACTTTCTGTGAAAAGTATATAGTTCCTAGGACGACAACAGCTGGCAAGTATATTTCATTGTATCGGAAGTTCCGTGATACCGGTATTTATGTGCATCACACCAATCTCAATAAGCTGCGTTATGATAGTGCCAGTAGTGGTGCTGGTGGTAGTGGCAACAGCCGTAGTAAAATGGGAAAGCAGGATCAACAACACTACCAGCAACAAGAGCATAAATTTAACAATCCAGGAATTACAACAAGCAACCAAAACAATGACGGCAACAAAGAGTTCCATGCTTTCTTCATCGAAATACCAAATGCAACAGCAGCAGCAGCAATACCACCATCAACAATATCCGAATCAGAATCAAACTCACCAACAGCAACAGCGACAACAACAACACCATCATCATAACAGTATTATATCACGCCAGCATTCTAAACTCTGTACAATTGAGGAATAAAGTGGCGACCCCAGCTTAGAGCATTAACTGGGCCCGAACATACATACATTGTTTGGGTTATTGTATTGACAGTCTGCCTAGGCATTTGTCTGGTCATCTATCTGTCCATCTCTCCATTCGTATGTTTGCCTTCCGCTCATACGATACAGTCCTTCTTATTTTAGTAGCCAAAAATCCAGCATATGCCTGTTGCCAATTTTAATATGAATTGTACAGTGGTTTGAAATTAAAATAAAAAGAAATGGACGATGTTAAATGTTTGTGTAAGTGAACATGAAAAAAATCTTGTTTAATAATAAATAAATTAAGGTTTTATGTTCTATTTATATACAATGCTTATTTTAAATGAAGTTTCTAGTCCTATATAAAACCATATTACAGCGAATAATTTAGGAAAGTGTGCCTAAAACATATGATATAAAAAATTAGTAGCACTCAACCATGTAAATTCTTATGCTGGCAGTGGCATTGTGAAGTTGTCTGCATGTAGGATTTTTATTTGGTAAAATGAAAAACAAAATTACAGTCTCTCCGGTGAGAAAACATACCGAAAATTAAGCATGCCTTTGGTTTGGGAACGATGGTAAATCATGAATCTAAATTGGCAAGTTCTCATTAATGGCAAGTTATTCAGTAAAATAGTTTATAACTCCACTGGAAAACTGTATTAAAATACCTTTACTATCTAACTAGCATATGCTGACAACTTCGTTAGCGAATGTAGGAATTATTTAAAAACCAATACCGTCCAATACCGTATTTCCAAATGTCTTAACTCTACATATCTTAAGTCTACACACCATTTCTGACCGCAACAGAAATCTAGCTCTATATTAAATTTGGTATTGTTTATTGCCCTTTGTACTCTTGTAATACTTTTTTCGAGAAAAAAAATCCAAATTTGTTACCCAATGTCCGCATTCCGGCTCTATCGGTTCACCCTAAATCCAAATTGTACCAAATTTAGTGCCATTTAGTACACAGTTCCAAAACATACTAAATACTCCAATCCAATCCCTACAGTGATCCTAACTCCAAATGTCAATATTCCAGCTCTATCGGTTCACCTAACTCCAAATTTGGTACCATTTAGTACAAATTTCCAAAACATCCTACATACCCCAACTATAATCTTAACTCCAAATTTCAGAAAACCAGCTCTATCAGTTCACCCAAAATTCAAATTGTACCAAAATATAGTACAATTTAGTACCCATAAATATAAATTTTCAGAACTACATTCATACCCCGATGCTACATTTCAACAGTAAACTTATTTCGAAATTTCAGCATTCCAGCTCTATCGGTTCACTTAAATCCACATTTGGTACCATTTTGTACACATTAGTACTAATTTTTAATACTTTCTATATATCCCAATCCTACACCCCAACAGTAATACTAACGAAAATATTTCAAGATTCCAGCTCAATCGGATCACCCAAATTCTCAATTGGTACCATTAAGCTCAAATTTCCAAAACTTCCTACATCGGTTCACTCAAAATTTAAATTGTACCAAATTTAGTTCTCATTAGAATGAATTTCCAAAACTTCATAAATAACTCATTTCAACCCCCAACAATGACACTAACTCCAAATGTAAAGATAGCTCTATCGGTTCACCCAAACTTGGTATCATATAGTACACCTTAGTACGAATTTCTAAAATTTCCTACATTTTTCCAGCTCTTTCGGTTCACCCAAATCCAAATTGTACCAATTATAGTACTCCAAAACTGCGTACATATCACAATCCAACGCTCCAACGGTAATGTTAATATCAATTTTCAGGATTCCAGCTCGATTTGTAACTCCAAATCAAATACAGATATAATACATTTTTTCATGTTTTTACTAATCATTTATAATTTGGTATTTTTATACCCTCCACCATAACGCATCGAAATAATCATTTCCGACCCTATAAAGTATATATATTTTTGACCAGCGTAAAATTATAGACGATTTAAAGAAATTGAGCCTCTAAACGAATTGAGTTATATCACTAAAATTTTGCAAAGAGTCGTCTTTTTTCTGCAGGCAGGTCAAGTTTGAAGATGGGCTACATCGGTCCACGTTTAGGCATAGCTCCCATATAAGAGAACCCACAGTTTTCGTAATTTTGGGGTTCCTGAGCGCGTTTTGTTCTAAGACTCTGTTGTAATCATTTCACCTGCGGAGGATAGCGAGATAAAAAATTTGAACGTAAGGTTCGATAATGAATTATAGCCGCATTTAGACCTAGTCTCTGTGTGGAGGTTCCAGAAGGATTGGGCCGATTTCCCCATATTCGAATTTGAACTAAGTTTGGAGACGGATTTGGTCCAAAGAAACATGGGGTCTAGAACGACATTGAAGCACATTTTCACCGTGTTAAAGTATATACATCCTCATTAGCCATAATGCTGAGGGTATACTTATCCATTATAAATTCTCATGCAGTTTATTTCGTTGGTCAGCTAAGTACTTCGCTTTGTTACAAGAGACATTTGGGTATGAAAGATTTTTTTGTATAGAAGCAATAATAAATCCCACATATATTTCGAAGAATAGCATAAATAAAACAAAAACACACAGGCGATTAAACATTTTTCAAGTTATGTTTGTTGTTGCAGTAATGATTGTAAACATATGAAGTACACAATAGCTCCACAGGAATAAGAACAACAACAGCATCTCCAACAAATATTATGTCCAACACATAGAAAACCACATAATCACTTTTACAGTGTCCTTGTGCAGTGGCCAGCCAACAAAAATATAAATCCACACACACATCTGCCTTCATGCAAGGAGTCTCATATGGGCGGAACGTTGTAGGTTTGTATATTTGTTGCTTGCATTTACGTTAACGTCAAAACTTTCCCGTAGGTTTCATTTGTTTTGTCCGGATGGAATAGTAAATCTAGGAAACCATTCTATATTGTTTGTCTCTTGGCCAAATTTATGTGTGAATGCGAGTGGTTGTTGCTATTGTTGGCAAACTCACATTTTGTGTTTTAGTGCTTGTAAACAATTTGTAGAACAAAAAAAAAACTTTATCATCATCGTCGTCGGCCGCCATCATTGCCGTCCAGGTCAGTATTTTGGAGCAGAGCACCGTTTGCACTCTCCACATCTTCCCAATGTAATATAGCCTCAACAATGCAACATCCTCTTACGATCATCAACAATCCTTGTCTAGTATGCCCCTATATTGCCGTTAGTATAACTCCATAGTTATGGTCTAGGTAAAAAAGTGAAGTAAAACAAAACACATACATACAAAAATATAAAACAAAAGGAACCAAACATCACCATCACACATGTAGGAACTATGGAGCGAAAAAAGTTTGTGTTGAACTTATTTCTTCCCCCATTTGTCTGTAAATTGTTTTTGAGGTGTGTCTATGAATGAATGTATGTACATGTGCGAATTCGAGGGTGGTAAAAAAGAAATGGGAAAAATACTTCGAACTGAAGAAGTTGAGTCGATCTAGACATATGGGCACTTCCGCTGATAAAAGCCACAAAAGAGCGTTCACTCACGCGACTTTAGACATCACTACTAATAATGGGAAAACTCTGCGAATTGTGTGAATAATTTGATTTTTTAATATTCTTTACATGAATAAGAGATACCAAGCATTATTATTGTACTTTCAAAACTTCAAAATTTGACATATCCTTTATTTGCGAAGGATTTTTCTCGGTCACTCACGCGACATTTTAGATTTTGCTGTTTTCATTTCTGCAGTGTCTGCATTTATAGCTATTAAATTAGTATTTATGGTAAGAACAGGAAGAAAAACTAATAAAAGTGGTCTTTCTTTGTATTTTTTGCCTTTATTTTACGTATTTAATTAAGCACAATTAAAGAAGAAAATTCTTCGACTTTGGTTTACCTGTTTGCGGAAGTGCCCATATGTGTCCGTCTGTCCATTAAAATTATTAAACACGATACAGGCCACAGTTGTGGACCAATCGTCAGAAAATGTTATCAAAGAAGACTCCTTTTTTTGGAAAAACTGTTTTAAATCATTTACAATTGAGCAGAAACGGCTAGAATTGTCCAACAGGTGTCGTGTTCCACCAGGACAGAGCTAGGCCACATACACCTACAGTGAAACTTCGGGAGCTTTCTGCATCCGCCATACAGTTCGGACTTAGCACCAAGCGATTGCCATCATTTTCTCGCATTGCAAAATTTCTTTAAAGTTAACAAGTTGGTATCTAGGGAAGATTGTGAAAATCGACTACTAAAGTTTTTTGCAAATAGAGATCAGGAATTTTATGAGAGAGGCATTATGAAGTTACTTTTAAATGGCAACAAAACGGTACATTTTTGGCCCATATCGGACATTCCAAAGCAAGTTAAATAAAGTCCTAAAATTCATATAAAAATAATGGATTTCTTATTCCCCAAACTAAACAGTCGAGTACGGTTATAGCGAACTCGTAGGGACCAAGCAAATTAGTTCGTTATAGAAGAAGTTCGTAATATACGAAACGTATCATGGTGATGTGGACGAACTCAATGAAAAGTTTGAATTTCACGGCGTTTCAAATAATGAAGTTCTTAAATGCTTGAAAGAAGTTACATCTAACTCCATTGGTCCTGACGGAATTGACCTTAAGTTTGTACGAATACTACTCACTTCTGTACTGCAATACATAACATATCTTTTTAATTCCATACTCACTTCCAGCACATTTCCTAGTCGTTGGAAGCATGCAAAAATCATACCTATACCAAAATCAAATACGGAATTTGGAAATATTTGAAAAAATCGTGCAGGAACAAATGTCCGAGTATCTTCAAAGAAACTCACTGCTCAGTAATGTTCAATCGGGTTTTCGTACGGGGCAAAGCTGCACCACTGCTTATATAGAAGTTTCAGAGATTGACGAAAATAAGATATGTTTTCTTGTTTAGCTTGATCACTCAAAAGCATTTGATACCGTCGACC